TGAGAACAAGGTACGAAGTTGGTCAATAGCTGAAAACACCTCGTTGATTATTCTGCCTCTTTGTCTAGCTGTTTGTGCCACACGGGAAACTTAGACAGCACAAGAATTTTTACAGAGGGAGAGGAATCGCTCAGGGGTCCTTCTGAGTTCCCCTCATGCTGGACCATATTGGCCGTCACCTCCGTGTGCTCTTGGTGCTTGGTGTTTTACCCGCTGTGGCTGTACACTGAATTTTACTAATAATTTCCAGGCCCATGGCCTCTGGTTTCTGAACACCTTGTGTGGGGTGGACTGTTCTGCTGGTTCTCCTGTTTCAGCATGCAGCATAAAATCAAGTACCTAAACCTTTTCAAAGTCATTCTTCAAGTTTGCTAGCCTTCTGACCTGTTTCCTGGATTCTTTGGAACACGAATGATTGCAAAACTCATAGGTGTATGGGAATATAGCAGAAATGGGGAGTGTACCTTTACATTATTGGAGATCACGGCTTACATCATCGGTTGCTAGGATCCTAGAGACTTGGTTGCAAATGTGGCTTTGAGCATCCTATCAGGGCTTCAGATGTCTCCTGCCAGCACACACCAGTGCACTCTTGGACTAAAGCTTCACCCTGGAAGTCGCATGACCCCTTTCTCAGAAACAGCAATGTATTTATTTATTCAGGGAACATTCACATGCCAATATTTATACACTGGTGTCATCCCAAACAGTTCAAAATAATAGCCACTTTATCTCTATTGCAACACATGATTTAAGAGCTTTTATGGTCCCTGTTTTACTGACGAGGAGATTGAAGCACAGAAAGGTTAAAGAGCAGGTAAGTGGCACACGGGGATCCAACCCCTGAGATCTGGCTTCTGAATCCACACTCTTCACAGTTAACACTATGTGGCCTATGTCGAAGCAATTGTGCCTGCTTACTAGGGAGCAAGTGGCAGTAAGGGACAGGCTGAAACAGATGGGACCTAGAGTTAAAAGACTCTCGGGCCACTTAGCATGCAGGGGGATAATACCAACCACCGTCTTGATTTATGCATTTAAACACACACACACACACACACACACACACACACGCACACACGCACACACGCACACTGCCCTTTCTGTGTTCTAGGTATGGCTGGGAAGGACAAACAGACAGTGAGCCAAGCAAAGCACCAGACGTTGGCCTGCTGCCAGGTGTCACCAGCGACACACAGACAATAGTGTTTATGAGCGCACAGCCGAATCCAGGACCTGGCAGCCACAGCAGCGGAGTGGATGCCCTTAGCTGGATGCTTAGGGAAATAAGAATGGCCAAGACCCTGGAGCACAGCTGGGAGAGGCCGGGGTAGTCAGCGGGTGACCTGCCTCTTTATCCTCACACATCCACCAATGGTCACAGGAGCCTCCAGCACGAGGTGAACCTCTACTCTCCTGCAGCTCTTTTCTAGGGCACAGAGATTTCGTCTGGTCCCCTGCAGACTGGAGTCGAGCTGTGGCAGGAGACAGAGCACTTAAAGAGGCCAATATCCTAGGCAGCATTTTATGTCACGCAGAAGAATCCGGAAACACACAAGCTTGCATGGCAGCCAGCGGGCAAAAAAAGCTCTTCTCTCTTCATTTTCTTGTTTGGGTTAAATATGCTAGCTGCCCCCGTGCAATGGAAAAAAACAACACCAGAGCAATTTTATCCCTCTACTTAGGGAATACCTGAGGCTCTGTTGCAGGAGACCAGACTGCTTGGGTGAAAGGAGTTAAAATTCTTCACCTTGCCATCAGATCTTGAGAATTGGCTAGTCAGCCTGGCCTTTGTCCACTCCTCACTGTCGGGTGCTGCACAGCACTCTGCAGAAGTGCTGACCAGGAACTTAGGTGGCATGCTTAATTATTAAGCACCGTGGTTACCTGGACTGAAGGGAAAGGGGCTGCCTTATATGTCATTGCTCAAGGTCATTCATGCTGAGGTCTACTGTGTGTGTGTGTGTGTGTGTGGGGTGGCAGCAGTGCTCCACCAGATACTTAAGGAAACGCTTTTTGTGGAATTCTACTTTTCTCTTCAAAGCCCATTAGACAGTTTGTTTTTCAGGAGCCCCAGAGCAAAATAATGTCAGTGACACGCTTTAATGGGTTGTTCTAGCTCTCCTTTTTCTTGCTTGACAAGGAACGTTGCCTGTGGATATACATATATACAGTCTGGTACCCCAGGAGGTTCTGTGGGGTGGGGAGTCCCTGCATGACTTCCTCTCCCAGAAAACAAAATCTCAGTGGCCTCGTGAAATGTCAGGTCTGGGGTGGGACACGTGGATTTAGAAGAAGCTGCCCTGTATTCTTTCGCCTTTTCAGACAACAAGGTGAAATTTAGGCAGCAATGCCCATTGTGCATATTATATAATCTTAAGTGTGTATTGGTAGGATTTTGGTGATTTGAGTCACAAAATCAGGCTTATATACATGTGTGACATATATGGGTATATATGCATACATGACATATATATATATGTGACAGAATATTCATTCACATAATAAAAAGCAAAACAAGGGGATAAAATGAGGTGAACATGATTTCTCTTCTATAACCCTAGTTCTATTTACTGTCCTATGTTTTAGAAATAGTCATTTTTGGATGACTGGTTAGTTTTACACATATAAACTTATAGGAACATACTAAATTGAACACACACACACATATATAGTTATATGTTAACATATGTTATTTATAAAATATAGGATATACATAATTTGCTTACTCCACACACATTGTTGTAGGCCTTGTTTGGTGAGGGAAGGCCCAGGATGCTTACATAAAACCATTGGTTAGGAAGTTACTGTCTTTAGATGCAATCTCTTTAGAGACAAATATACTGTTTTTACAATTTTATTCTGAAAGGAAAGATGGTGAGTAGATACCTATTGTCATTTATATCTACTATGTATCAAACAACATTCAAAAGTTTTATGGATATAGGACTCAGTACATTGCCTGTGGGGTCCCAGGATAAAATTAAAAATGCAGGTCCCCTTGCTCAAAACTTCAGCAGTCAGGAAAGACAGCATCATGGCAAATGGGAGGCTTGCTTATCTGAGTACAGGTTGTATGTGCGTGAAGCACCCCTCATATGTCCTGTGTAGACATTGAAGCATGGCTGTTTTTACTATACAGATGGGAAGCTGAGAGGCAGGTGCCTCAATCCCAGAGCTTCCTGCCATGGCATTTACCTGTAGGACATCACAGTTTAGAAAGAGCATCATAACCAAACAATATCAGTTCCCAAAAGAAAAAAAAATGACCCTGATATTGGTCATCTGGACAATATGAATTTGATATACCAGAGCTGTTCCAACTTCCAGCTACCAGATGTCTGTAAAAATTCATAGCAGGCTATTAAATTTAGCAGATCCTGTCTTAATTAGATTAGCTTTTGCACAGCATGAGGGCAGAGCATCTCTCTGATGGAGGGTTTCTAAAGATACCTGATGGGATTTCTTTATGGAGGATGGGCTTTCTTATCCATAGAGACTGATGAATAGGGGGGAAAAGATCTCCTACTGTATAATAGTATAGAAATGTGATCATGATGTATCAAAGGAGAAGCAGGGCTTTATTTCATTAATGTTGCCTCTTTATTTGGCTTCAAAACAGAGGAGGGGGGGCAAAGACAGGAGAGGGACGTTCAAAATAACCAGCTAGGAAAACAGCAGAAGGGAGTTGGGAACCTACAGGCAAATTCTTGTCTTCAAATCTCTAATAAATCTAGAGCCAGAGAATGCTGAGTGTTCAGGAGCCCTTTAGTGTCTGGTTTCTTCTCACCCCTTCCCCCCCCCCCCCCCGTGCTCCCCTGCCCTAGCCTCCCTCCCTTCTTCCCTCCATCCCTCCCCCACCTCTCTCCCCAGAAAAGAAACAACGCTGCACAGTTTATTTTGGGCTGGTCTCTTATGTGATTAAACTCAGTGTCTATCCTCTCTTCTTAAGATCACTAAAACAACAACCCCCATGACTGAAGGGACAGCTGGAAGCTCCCTTTATCTTGCCTTCCCTAGCCCGTCATAGGCAGAAGCCCTAGCTTACCACGTTTTGTGGAAACCTCACTGGGTGCATAGGGGATAATGGGTCTGAGAGCCAAGCAGCTGGCGCGGGGGCCACTCCATCAAGAAAACGGATGTGGGTGAGTTTTCCTAGCCTCAGATACGCCAGCAGGATGGTCACATTCTCAGGGACCTTCTTCCTTGACTGTGGGGGTCAGCGAAGAGACTGTGAGAACAGAGACAACAGAACAACAGGCATTTGCTTCCGTCTCACAGCTGCCCTGCTCACGGGCAGGGGAATTCAGATTTCTCAAGGCTGAAAGCACATGAAAACGGGCAAGGAATGCTGGTAGAAAGAATGGCCCATCATTTGTTCCTGAGGCTGCCTGATCAGATTCCCATCATACCCAGGCAGGGTTACTAGGCAACTGATTAAATAAACGTGCTGGTCCTACAAGCGAGCTTGCAATTAATTAACTTAACCATTTTCATTGCGACTGTTTTCTTCCCTCCTCCACCTCAGCCCACGTGGAGGTTCGGAAATGTGAGAGGCATCAAGGATCTTCACGCAGTTTGGAGGAGGAGGCGGCTGAGACCATTTTGCCTTCCTTCCTGACTCCACTTAGCTCTTCCCACAAGCAGAATAAGAGACCTTGCCCAGCAGGTAATTGGCGTTTTAAGTAAATAAGGAAAGTACATGAAAGGCCTGAAAAAGTGCTGGGCATATAACTATCCAGACTCTGAGGTGCTTCCTAATCATGCTTGTTGCTGGGTAGAGCAAGATGAAAAGGAATTTGTACTACGGAAAATCATTTTAGTAGATTGATCATTTCAACATGGTGTGGCAGATGCCAAGTGTGGTAGTTTGAATGTAATTGGCCACCATAATCTCATAGGGAGTGGCACCTGCTTCAACTAGGTGTGGCCGTGTTGGAGGAAGTGTGTCACTGTGGAGGTGGGCTTTGAGATCGCTTTTGCTCAGGCTTCCCTCATAATGACAGGAGACCATTTCCTGTTGCCTGCAAGATGTCCGACTCTCGGCTACTTCACCATTGTGTCTGCCATGCTCCCTGCCATGATGATAATGAACTGAACCTTTGAAACTGTAAGCCGCCATCCCAGTTAAATGTTTTCCTTTATAAGAGTTGCTGTGGTCATGGTGTCTCTTTACAGTAATAGGCACCCTACATAAGACGCCAAGTAAGACCCAGGCACAGGCTGGATACATGTCTCCCTGTGCTATGAAATGGAGATACAAATTCCTTCCCAGCCCAGGTAGCCAGGGAAGCATTTAAGCCATGTGCTGAAAACCGATTGAGTGGATCAGGGCAAAGCCACTGTGGATAGGCATTCCTAGAGAGGGTCTGCTGGAAAAAGCCAGTAATCCTGGTAATTTTGCCACTAGTTTGGTCTTGCAGCCATCTGATTTGAAGTAAGCAGCAACTGGTGTGGGTGTTCCTAGAGTAATGGGCAGGGTCAGGAAATCAAGGCCATTTTTGTGGATCTGGAACTCTGACAGGGTGGCAGGGGGGCGGGCGGAATCTAGCAAGGGGAGGAAATGGATGTGACTTCTCCTGTCACCTGACATTAGGAGAAAAGAAGGTGTTGAGAGGGAGAAGACACTGCCTGGGAATTCATGTAGACCAGGAAGAGTGAGGAGACGCTAAAGGCACAAGAGCAGTTTGGTCCACGGCCCTGGTTAGGAATGGGTGGTAGGAGGGGAAGGCTCACAGCCGGCATCTGGATTGCGTAGATGGAGGGGGTGTTCACTGAAAACAAGAGAACAGAAGGAGAAAGAGGGAGGCTGGGGAAAGAATTCTATTTTATACTCACTGAATTTGGGGGTTTCTACATTCTGTAGACTATGGGTTACACAGCACAATTCCTTAGCATTTCCCTTAGAGGCAAGGGTTAAGAGGGCCCCTTTGACAATCTATGTTCCAAACCAAACTCCTGTGTTGTGCTGGATTTCGGGGCAGGGGTTGTTCTCTTTTTTTTTCTGGTTTTTTGAGACAGGGTTTCTCTGTGGCTTTGGAGGCTGTCCTGGAACTCGCTTGGTAGTCCAGGCTGGTCTCGAACTCACAGATCTGCCTGCCTCTGCCTCCCAAGTGCTGGGATTAAAGGCATGCGCCACCAACGCCCGGCCTGCAGGGGTTGTTCTCTATCTTTTAAAATTAGCATGTATTGATAGTATGGAATAATGACCTACATTGGTTGTTTTCTCTCTATCTTTTAAAAATAGCATGTATTGAAAGTATGGAATAATGACTTACATTGATATTTTCCCTTATGCATGTTATACATCTTGAGTGTATCGCCCCTCCACCCCTCTTGCTCCCCTTCTTTTCTTCCTCTTTGGCTTGCAACTTCTCCCTTCATGTATGACTCCAACCATAGGGGACTACACATGGTATGTATTTCTAATGGGTCTCTGTGTCTGGCTTATTTTGCTTAATGGGTGCATTTTCTGGCAAAGGTACGGTTTTGTTCTTAATGTTTTCATAATAGCATGTTCATGCTACATTTTCTTTAACCACCCACCATTCAGTGTATACCAAGACTGACATGGATAGCACTGTGGTTCAGTGTTCAGGCATTTCTGTTGCATGCTGGACCTGATTCCTTTAGGGTGCATACCCAGAAGTGACAGTCTGGATCCCACGAGCCTTCTAAAATTTTAGTGAGCTTCTATACTGATTTCTGTCGAGACTGCACCTGTATACATTCCCACCAGAACTGTATGAATGTTTCTTTCCCCCTCTATTGGCAACATTTGTTCTACGCTTTCTTGGTGATAGCTTTCTGATTGGGGATAGAGAGGATCTTATTGGAGTTTGATTAATTTCCCCTATTGGCTAAAGATGGGTACCAATTCTAGCAAGTATTTAGTGCCCATTTGTACTCCTTTTGAAAAGTATCTATTGAATTTTTGCACACTTATTGATCTCATAATTTGCTAATCTGATGGTTAATTTTTTGTGTGTTCTTCTGATATGCATCTTCTCTAAAACAAATAATTGCCAAAGATTTCCCCCTTTCTATAGTCTGTCTCTTTGTTTTGTCAATCATCTCTACTGTGCAGAAGTGTTTAAATTTCATGCAATCTGTTTGTGACTATTAGAGGAAGGTGGGACAAAACCTTCCGGCTATGAAATGAAGTTGCTATATTAAAAGTGGAACAGTCTGGAATCACCCACAGATAGCAGCAATCACTCTGGATGATGCATTGTGTGCCAAGTGCTGGATCACATGAAGTACCCAGCATCTACCATGGCATCCCTGATGGGGAGAAGCATTTATGACATCTGGGACCACATGGGATGCTCCTAACCTTTGTGGGTGGTGGGAGTTACACAAATTTTGGGATCCTCCAGGCTTCAGATCCAAGGCTCCTTGCTTTTGTAAAAATAAAATAATTACAGTCTTGCTCCACCTGGCTGTCTCTATGTGTAGGTACCTCCTCGGGGATCTTTGGGTGAAATGTCAAGGATAGTACTGTAACCAGGTAACTCTACCCAGGATGGTCAGTGAAACTCTGTAATACACAGGGTCTACCAGCTATAGGAAGATGCTTTTGTGGTTACTGTTCATCTATGACACAAACCTAATGCACCCAGGACCATATGTTTGCTTCTTCCTTTTTACAAATCTTTAGATCAGTAAATCTATGAGAATACCTCAAACCAGGTGCTGTATACTTAACAGAAGCTTGTATCTCAGGCCTAGATGCTGTAAGGCCAAGGTGCTGCTAGGTTGCGTGAAGACCCAACGTGTAATGAGAGTTTGTGTTCTTACCCATGGATGGTGCCTTCTAGCTGTGCCCTCACGTGACAGAAGAGGCAAGGGGTCCCACAGCAAGGGAAGTGCCATTCATGAAGACTCCACCCTCCTGATCACATCTGATAACCTTCTCACAGTTCCACCAGACAATGACATCATACTGACGATTAAGTTTTAAAAATAGCAAAGGAACTGAGGGGACATGCATTCAGGTTGTGACATTGTGTATTTGCCATTGTTTTCTGAGCTTGCTGTTTGATACTCTGTGAATACTATCCTGTGACCAAAATAATTACTTGTTCATTCTTCATTTTTCCCTCTCTCTCCCTCCTCCCTTTCTTCTTCCATTCCTCCATCTCTCTCTGGACTCTGTCTCATCCCTCTGTGTGTCTGTCTCCCTCCCCCTATCTCTCATTCGCTCTCCTTCCCCTTTCTTTCCTCCCCTCATTGATTGCTTCCCTCCAACACAAACGCCTGCTAAAAATCACAAAGAGAATTCATTCATTCATTCATGCATGCATGCATGCATGTATAGACACCATTTTGTTCACGACTGATGTTCAAGCCCTCTTTGCCCTGGCCACTTAAAATTCACATCCTTTCAATGCGCATTTGTCGGATGGGCAGATGCTTGTACCCTTTAAAAGTCCCTCCCCTTCTGCAGAGAGCTTGAAGAAGAGGCAACTCTTCAACGTTCAGGGAGAGAAGCTTCAAGAGGGTTGACTAGAATGGAAACAACTTGTCATTTGTTTTTAAATATAATACTAAAAGTGTCATGGCTTATTTTGATTTTCAATTATTTGATTTTTTTCTCTCTCTCCTGTGCCAGTATTTTTAAATTTTGTATTTTCTTTATAAAATCCACTTATGTATTGAGTGTGCTCCAGGGCTGGAACTCACATCATTAGGCTTTGTGGCAAGCGTCTTTATCCAGCATGCATTCAGATCTCTCCCTGTGTGCTTCATTTCCTCTCCTCCTTCCTCTTCCCCTTCTTCCACACTTCCCTCCGTCCCTTGGCTATGTATAACCCTACCAGAGGAACAAACTTAACTCCATAACACGTCTCCATCTTCATCCTTCCTCTCTCCAGCCACAGACCCTGGTCACTAATCAACAATATGATTTTCTTGTTGTTCCTATGATTTTCCTTTTCCTGCAGTATTGTATAAATTGGAATATGTGTGTGTAACCATTAGGAACTGACTCTACCTCCCTGAGCATTTTTCTCTCTATGTTCACCTGGGTTGTATGTAATATTTGTGACTACGTAGTGTTCTGTGGGATAGCTTATGACTGTTCACACACTGAAGAACATAGATGCAGTTAACGTTCAGGACTATTGTGAATGGCTGTGGCCACTGCATATGTGGTTAGGCTTTGCCACTATATGAGAATGGAAGACCATTCCCCAAGGCCCAAGTGGTGGAGTAGTTATTTTCCTTCAGGGGCCAATGATTTAGAGAGGTCATAGACTTACAGGAGAGTGTGACTTGCTGGAAGAAATGGATTATGGGGAGAAGAGTTCTATTTTATTCCCTTTCCATGATGCTCTCCATGTCCCTACTTCCTGACCAGTCCAGATGTGAGCCATAACCCCCTCCCCCATAGTCAAGAGTTGCCTCTCCTACCATGATAAACTTTTATCTGTTTGAATTCCAAGGCAAAATAGCTTTTCTAAGTCCGTTCAGTCAGGCACTCTATCACAACCAGGAGAAAGTAATTAATCAGGAATACAATTGTCTGTATAGACATAGCTTTCTCTGGGACAAAGCATAGCTTACCTATAGCACAACTGAAAAGTCATATTCATCATCTATGACTTTTGAGATGTTTAGCTGTTGGTTAATTGTTGTGTGAAATATACATAATTTGTTCTATGCTATCCTCATTGCTATTAAAGGTCTTTTACTTTAATTACTTTTCTACTTTAAGTAGATTCATTTTCTTTGGACTTATTGTCTTTTCTGTCTGAGAATTTTTAAAAATTTAATTTTTACATTTAAAAAAAATTTATGTGCATTCACTCATGTAAGTATATGTGTAACACATGTGTTCAGGAGTTCATGGAACCTTGAAAAAAGCATCATTGGATCTCCTGCAACTGGATTTACAAAGAATTATAAGTCAGCCTGTGGTTGCTGGGAACCAAATCTGGATCCTCTGCAAGATCAGCAAATGCTCTTTACTGCTGAGCTATATTTCTAATTACTAAAATCTCTACTTATATTTATTTGTTTGTTTATGCATCACTCTCTATGTGTATATGAGAGGGAGGGGAGGAGGGAGTGAGGGAGGGAGAGACAGATAGGGAGAGAGAGAGAGAG